AATATTTTGATTATTATTAATATTAGTTTTGAGAAAATTAACGCTTTGTTTAGATATAAAATTAGCAACATATTAATAATAAAATTGTTGCAAAACTTGTGTTTTGCAAACCCAAAAAGCACAGGTATTCCTCGACAGACATTTTTTGTATAATTGTGTAAATCATTTCTGGAGTCGACGGTATTTCAAAGTACATGCAAAAATTATTACCATACTTATTGACATTAGATAACGTGTTATCGACCATATAATAGTGTTGTACGCACTCAACATAGCAGCCACACCGGCGCTCGCATTCCTTTGCAACACTAGTATTGTATTTATCTATAAAATAAATGCTACAATTATTACTATCGGTAATCAATCGGTACTGACATACAAAATGTAATCGGGTGATTTTGAATATTGATCAACATACGTTTTAATTATACACTCGTATTTACAAGTATGAAAAGTTTGATCACGATGGAAACAGTGTTTATTACCATTCATAATCAAATGTTGATGCACAATTTTTGACTTACAAAACCTAATATTTACTAAGTTACTGTAATTCAAATTAATAAACATTAAACCTTTGTTATGATAGTCATATAATCGCTCCGACTGGCCACCAATGATGTTTCAATTATTGTGAAACTTATATCAGGTGTGTTTAATAATCTTATTTCCGAATAAAATTGACGGTATACTGAATTAAGTAGATAGTTCTGCCCGTACCGACCAGTATAGTTATTTATTCACTGACCAAATATGGTTAGACAATAATTTTCCTTATTAATTAAATGTATGTACTTGGTCACATCTGAGCATAATATTATATCACCTAAGCTGTTGAGTTTTATACGCTCCATTCGTTTGTTAACCCAGAGCTTAGTCGTGTCCAATTGTTTACCGATTGGGAGGGTTGCTATATTGAAATTAATTTTACTATTGATGGCATCGTATTTCTTAAAACACATTGAAGTCATTGGCACTTGTAATGCAGACTAGTCTTGGTAAACGTGTCACGTTCACGTGTGAATCACGCTCACGACACCCCGTGAGTGAGCGTAAATAATTTTTTAGTGACCGTGAGTGAGTGTGAATGAAAATTTCCTCATTTACCAACACTAATACAGACTGCGAGTCAAACTTGACATTAGTAGTGGTTTTGTACGATAAGTATATGAAACTTATTTCAGCATTTGATACAACTATCACGTAAAACATCAAACATACGATTTCATTATGTACATAATTTTGAATACATTTTTCATCATATTTTTTAAAATATGCAAATTATTTAAATGATTAGTCAATTTTTTTAGATTAGTATAATATGTTGGTTTTAATTGTTAAAATCTTAAAGTTTTAATAATATATTTGTATGCGCGTAGTATATATAACAATCATTCATTATTTCTATTTTATACATAAAAAATTGATTTTACAAACAATTTATTTGTCAAAAAATAATTAATATCAGAAAATGTCATAATTATTAAAATAATTACAAAATCAATAATCATTTGTTTTATCATGAAAGATTTATTTTGAACTTTCTAAAAAACATTAATTTATTAATTCATATAAAATTTTAATATATCAAATCTATAAACCATATTTTTATAAAAAATTATGTCTAAAAATTGAAATAAACAATAATATTTTTTAATTATTTATTATTTGTGTATTTATTAAATATAATTAAATGATTAAAATTCACATTAATTATATATTTAAATAAAATTTTAACATTAACAAAATTTCTGTAATAATCATTTATAATATAATTTCTGGATCAATTTTGTTTATATAAACAATTTTTAAAAAAATATTTATGTAGTTAATAAAATGCTATAATCCTTGGCCATTTGCTAAGTTTCTATTTTGAAATTTTACCAAGTGTCGATAGGGGAAATTTTTTCAAAATTTTCACACCACTTCTCATCTGTTTATTATGATTGACCCAATTATTTACATAATCCATGAGCTCCTGTTCTCTGACCTGAGTTTTTAACGTTCATTTACATTGTTTTTGAATTTATTTTTGTGTTGTCAACACATATATTTTATCATCAAAATGATTATGTAATTTATTTATAGACTTATGATAACTAATCAATAGTTTTCATCGAAAACAATTGAAAAAACAGACGTCACTACTAGCGTCTGTTTGTAATTGATGAAAGCATACAACACTTTGCACACAAATACAGTGTAAAACATTCTAATCAATATTTATACTAACGTTCAGTTGTAAAGTATGTTATTTTATGTCAATTAATCAATGAGTATAAAAATAGATATTTTTATAATAAATATAAAAAATTATTAAAAATGTTGAAAATCAACTTTTCAACAATAATTGTGTCTAGGATAATATATTATATTCAGGTTTATTTATGTTATAAACAAATAGTTTGTCAATAAAACAATATGTTATTGTAAAATTGTTTTAATCGTAATAATACAGATGTTGTTATAAGATAAAGTGAATTATATAAAGGATAAAGTTCAATGCTAATTGGTAAAATGCCAAAAATGTTATATTAAAATTGTATTTTAATTTGCAAAATTAATTATCGTAAGCATTATTATAATTGATATAAATAATGTTTAAGAATTACATTAATCATTATAAAAACGTACATGACTGATACTAAGTTTCTTAATTTTGACATAACTTTTATCGTTTATGTTAAATTTAAGATATTCCTATAAATTTCGATTCAACTCATCCATATCTATCTATTAATATATGATATAATATGGTTATTTATATAATAAAGATTTAATTTTCAAAATTTAACCAATAAAAGTGACCACTGCGGCCACACCCTAGGTCGTCTATTCACATGACATATATTAGTTAACTCTTACCATAATGTACTTTTTTATATAATAATAACACCTGAGTGCACTCTGGGCATATTTTGAGTATTGTCCTTTACAACTATTTAATCATAAATTGGCTGTCATATGGCATTTCAATAACACAATCACATATAACTATTAATCTATGCCATAAAAGTATTTAACATAACAACATTATTTGTTGCATTCAGATAAACAATTAATTTGATTAGATTTTTTAAAATTAAATAATATATATAAAGAGAACAATTATTGTAAAAAGCATTTATAATAATTTACTCAAAAATAGTTTATATTTAAACAGAATTTGGTTAATAATGTATATAAAAATTTTAAGTAAGTAATATCATAGTAATTAAAAATTATAATTTATAATAAATTATATTACAGCATTTTTATTTGCGTTAACGACGTTAATAAACAGCATTGTTGGCAACTGCCCTACTAACGTCCCTATAGGACCACCATGTTCATACGTCGATCAATCAACATATTGCGACATCCGTTGCGCCGGTAACCAGCCTTTCGATATAAAGGCCACACTATCCAACCTAAACCGCAGACTGGGTGCCGATAAAAGGGTATTTCGACAACTTGACCTATCCCAACTTGACAGCTTAACAGAGCTGCCGGCCAACGCGTTGGGTGGCCTACAGTTCGAGTACATCCAACTCTATTATACGCGAAGTTTGACGCGTATACACGTAAATGCATTCAACGGCTCAGTGGCAACGATAAACCGCGTGGATATACACCACGTGCCGGTCACCGAACACGTGGCCGGCGACTGGAACCTGTTTGGCGCCATATCCACGTTGAAGGGGTTGAAAACGCTCAACTTTTTGAACACCGGCGTAAACAATCTGCCCTCAATGGGTTTGAATGGTCTAAAGAATTTGTACGAGGTCTATTTTTTTACCAATCCCATTAAGTCAATTATGCACAACGCGTTTAACAATTTGCCCAGTATGCTATATTTGCAATTTAAGGACAGTAGTCCAATTGATAATGTGGCCGACCGCGCATTTACTGTTGGCCCCAAATCTATACAATATCAATTTAATATTGATTTTCAAACTCAACCGCACACAACGTTCAGTAACCAGGCGTTTGAGTCGATTGGTTGCCCGACGACTATAACGTTGGGAACGCAGTCAACGAAATATTTGGATCGCAATGTATTTGAAAAGTTTTTGACAGAAAATGCAATGAATAGAGTAAACGATGAGAGCATTGATTGCGCCGATAGTCGTAACCAATGGATTAAAGCGAAATATCCGTTGGTTTGGAGAGGTTTGAGATGTGGTTAATATATTTTTCCATTTTATTTGTTATTGTTTATTTTAATTTATTAATAACAATAAAGATTTTTTGCTTGTGAATAATGTTTGTGTACATATTTTATTTAAGTTTAATTTTTTTCAAATAAATAAATTTAAAACAAACAAAAAATATTTTGTTTAATAATATTATTAAATGTATATTATGTTTTACTTTTCATAAGATTACACGAGTAGTCAATTATGTGTAAATAAAGCTTTATATTAATAAATTATATATTTAGGGATTGTCTTCGTGTGAATAAGTTAGTTTTGAGAAAATTAACGCTTTGTTTAGATATAAAATTAGTAAGGACAGTAAAAAAGGGCGATCTAGAGCTTTCTTCACAGAAAAAACAATTTTCTGATTCATTTTCACAAATATTAAAGTTGTGTTCAAAGCAATGAGTCAAACATTACTTTATCTAAAGTTAAGTTTTTTCTGTGAA